ATGCGTTTGAAAAAATGAAGGGATAAAGAGGTATACGTTATATAGAATAGAAGACTTACCATATTTTGTGGCATGAAAGGTCCCACATCGACTCCGAAAATAAAAATGGTGAGTGGATTTCCATTATAAATAGATATTTTCTCTTTCACACACACCATAAGCTTGTTGAGGGATTGTTTAGACTAGATTACTCCATGTATAAGTTGGTTTTAGTAAAATAAATAAATAAATAAATAAGGAATGAGCAATTTGGGATTGGTCTTTTCACCACCGACTTTTATACAAGCTGAATATGTTATTTTTCGGGTTGTATGGGTCCAATTGAAGCCGATTTTCTTTTGAACCGACCTAGTTAAACTCGCCTAGGGAATCACATGGTTTTCTATTCTAGGCTTGCCACTGCTTTGACCTAAGATTCCAAGCCACTTCATAAATCAGTTTAACCACTTTTTCTAGTTAAAATACATCCAATTACCCTTACTAACCCAAAATTGACATCTTAATTTGATTAAAATCATAATATCATTTATCAAATTCTCGTACTTTATCAATTCACTATGCAACATAGAGTTATACATTCATATTCACTACCATTTTCACTTGTTTACTTGTGAAGTTAAGATCCAATAAGTGAGGTGATATATAGGGATGTTGAATATATACCATGAAAAACCAATTGACATGCTACCAATCGAACCAAAATAGTTGGCTACCAATATGTTTGGTTGGTAGTACCATACCAACTGAGTAATCATGGTAAGGTAATAGTACAAAATTTAAAATACCATGGTATTACCATACTAACAATTTTATTTGATATATATATATATATATATATATATATATATATATATATAGGCTTAGGTTATTTTGTTTTTACTAACTATTGTGTGCCAGAATGCACAGATCTGGACCACCGGATGGAATAGAATCAAATGTCATGATCTGAGGGTCTATGATATTAGAATAGGATAACATGTACCATATAATCACACTAATTTCAGCATAAGGGCATTTTAGTCAATTAACCTATATTAAAAAAGGAAATTTTCGGATTTTTAGGGATAATTAATTCTTTTATTTTAAAAAATCTGAATATTTTAAATTAATTCAAATTTAAAAATCCGATTTTATTCTGTCAGAATGATAGAATGCCAACCATAAACTAGTAAATATATTTTTCGATTTTATTCTGTCAGAATGATAGAATGCCAACCATGAACTAGTAAATATATTTTCGATTTTATTCTGTCAGAATGACAGAATCCAATCATAAATTACTAAATACATTCTGAAAGAATACACAAAATCGATTCTTGAACTAATAATATACCAAATAATTACATTATATGATTGTGATTCATTGAATAATAACAACATTCTGAAAAAATAACAAGTGTAATTCCTAAAAAAATAACAACATTCTTAATTACATTGTATGAGTGTGATCATTCTTTAATTCATTCTTTAAGCCTTTCCCATCAGGTCTTCAAGCCATTCTTCAAGCCATTTCTATCACAAATTTGTTGCAAAATATTTTGTAGTGATACACTTGTAACAACTGCACATTGAACATATAAACAATTAACTACAATTCTATCAGAATACAACAATAAATATTCTTACAGAATAAACTATTCTTGCAGAATGGTTTTGAATATTCTATCAGAATCGCTATTTTACACCTGTTTATTGTTTTTTACATTCTAAATCCAAACTGAATGACATTCATACTAACATGAAAACAAGCCTTGAGCAAGCTATATTTACAGACTTCAAAAACATATTACAACCTTATTCTCCAATGGAGAAAGAAAAACACCCCTACATGGCGTGTTTATTAACAGACTATTCACAAATATCATACAAATCAATCATATGCTACTCCATTCACAACATTCTATGTAGAAAAAGAATCAATGAATAATAACAAAGACTTACATGTGCATCAGTAAAAGATATGTCAACATCTTCCCATTGTCGGATGCAATCGTGGGTTTACTTCAAGTTTTCTCTGCTCCTTTCACAAAAAGGTATAAAAGTCTGCATGTTTCTCCAATTCAGGCTTTTACTGAGTCAACTTTCTTTTTGTTCAGATTTACTCATGCCTCAAAGCTCGCGATAATGCTGCTTTGTAAAGGCCTCATATTCATATACTTTGAATAATGTTTCAAGAATGGAACCCCTTATAGAGTGCACTCATTGTCACTCTCATTCGTTGAGGACTTTTCACAAACACTTTAAAGGTAGAATTTTGAAGACCAAATTCTGAAGGTATACCTACAATATACAAGATCAGCAACAGAAATAAGTTGACAAACATTTTATTATAAAAGATTTGGAATCGGGTTAACTTTATTTGGGAAATTACATCAAGCCTAACATGTTCAAGTTAATTATTGAGTACAAGCTAAAGATGCAAGAAAAATTGAACCTGAGAATTAATAGAAACTTGAAAAGCAATTGAAAATCAAATTGTTCAAATGATGTAGTGAATAGAATGTCGGCTACGAAGGAGATAAGAATCAAACCTCATCCTGATTGGTGTTTAATTGGTTTTACATTATTCGGTTATACCATTGTCTTCAAATCGAACCCCTTCTTCTTCAAGATTCGTGTTGAAGCTATCTTTAATCAAACATCCATCGGTATTCAAACTGAAACGAAAATCTAGAAGATGAAGGCTGATTGAAATGGTTTAGATCGATGACAACAGACGGAAATGATGGCTGTGACGGTCCGATCACACACACAATAAAGAAGTGGAGGTTTTTCTCGTTGGATGCGACGCCATCATCGCCGGTGAAGGGGCGAGATCCTTCCCTCCTCTCTTCTTTGATCCTCGGAGGTTTGACCCTTCGGAGTGTCAAATAAAGGGGTGCTAGTCGGCTGGTAGAGGAGCGGCAGTGAAGTTGCCGGTTGAGGTGAGGCTACAGATTTTTGAGGCCGATCGTTTGACTATAAAGAGGGGAGAAGATTAGGTTTTAGGAAGTTAATGAATTACCATAATTATATATGAAAATATTACTATAATACCCTTACATGATTTATTTAATGATTTATTATTTTCTCAATTCTCATTGGTGCATACATGCACACAATAGTTGCTAGAAACATTTGAACCTAGCTCTCTCTCTCTCTCTCTCTCTCTATATATATATATATATATATATATATATATATAACAAAATCATATATTTCAATTGTTAAGTGTGTTTAATGTTTACAATTTTAAGATCATGATATTAGTTATTTAGTCGTAGTCAATATTTAGTAACACATTAAATTAAAAATATGAAAAGCTACTTAATAAAATTCTTTAGTAAACTTTACTAATTTAACTAGAGGACAAAATTATCTCAAGCTATTGTTGGTCTTTAATTATTATAATTGAAAATTAAAAAGAAGTTAGTATATATAATTATCAATTTGTACCAATCAAACTTGTTGGCAGCCAAAGAAGATTATACCGAGTATACTTGACGCGATACTTTTAGAATTTTTTATACCAACTATAATTAATATGATACACAATTTGAAGTAAAATAATATATACCATACCAGTTCACCCCTCACTCCATGATTGAATTCAATTTCTATTAGGGATAAAACTCAATCCAAACCATTCATGAATCTTGTAATTCTCACAATTCATCAATAGCTATAAACTTCACATAATGGATCCATATGTATAAAGAAATTATACATATAAGTTCATTAATTTATTTTGCCATTAAGAACATAAAAGATAAGCTAATCAACTTAATTATTCAACGAGTTATATATCACATTTGAATTCCACACATAACATAAGGTTTGGAACTCAAAACTCTTCTAAATGATGAATTAGGCTCATGATTGCATATATTGATGTTAGTATCACATCCTAAGCTTGATTTATGGTCCAAAAGTCATAATAACTCCATGAAATCATTTCAATTTTTTGATTAGATTTAGAAATCAAAACCCTAGCCAGAAGGGGATGGGGAAATATTGTAGTATTATATATTTAATGATCTCCAATGGATGTATTAGGCTCTAAAACTTCAAACACCACTTGAATCTATCTTCTATTGACATTCAGTCATTGAAATCGCCACTCATACTTGCATACACTTTACACTGATCGATTAGGAGAGAATAAAATGGGATGAAAATGGATTTATAAGTCTTATAACATATTTTTACATTTTCTATCCTCACGTTCTTTAGTTCTCAAATTTACCACCACTTAATATAACTAGTTAACATGTTTTCTTGGACTTAAAATCCTAATCATTCCTCATTGTCTACAATTTTTTTTTATCCTAAGTAACTTTATGATAAACATCAGTCAACATCCACTTTCTCCAAATTGATACATTTGGTCTGCCTTGATACATCTCATAAATACCTTAATTACATATCACATTAATAAGAAAAAGCTAAATCACAATTCACCAAAGTGGTTTTTCAAAAGGTTAATGATTACTGTTTTGTTTATAGAAAATCAGAAGACACTAATCTAGGATGTGATCATTTCTATCATTAAATATCATCATATATTTTCTTCATATTCATCATCCTATCCATGTTAAATGTTGATATGTGTCACATTTAATGAAATTAATAATATTTTAATATATTTGTTAGCATTTAACATAGGTAGAAGGATGAGTAATATATGAAAATATTTAATTTCTCTTTTACTAAATGAACTTAATTAAAACTTTACAACCATTTTAATATAAAAAAATTTATTACTATTTTTATAAAATTACCCAAAATTGATAATCTTTTACATAAAATAAAATGACAATAAGATTATAATATTGTTACATTAATGACTAAATCTTATTAACAAGGTAACCAGTAATAGCTTTATTATATTAGATAATTACAAAATTTTGTAACTAAACTCACTAAAATAAATATTGATTTTTTATTAAAAGCAACCTTAGAAATTTGGTAAACTTGGGAAAGGAGGGTTATGTTATGCCCAAGATCAAAACCTAATCCAAGATCAAACAAAAATCAAGACCCAATTACTTCTTAATCTCTCAATCAACACCTACAATTCACATATTCATCCTTTATTCCTCCTCCCCCTCCCTTCCCCTCCCAGTGACCTTCTCGTGTCTTTGTTATTTCTCTCACCCACCGCCAGAGGAAACCGTCGGCGAAAGCGTAGCACAATCGCTTCGATTCTTGGTGAAACGTTGTCGACCCACCGGCTAAACTGCCTCGGCTTCCGTCGACCCTAATTATCTTCATTGGTACAATTTCCGATCAATTTCTTTACGATTTGAGCACTTACTCAACATGGGTATTCCTATTTTTTATGAATTTGATTCCATTTCTTGTTCAATTAGACATCTTTATTTGTTTGTTAGGTTGTTGTTTTGAGTGAGAAGAGGGGATCTGACTTTTAGCTATGTGGGTTTGTTTCTTATTGATTTACGAAGTAAGAAACAAGATTCACATAAAGTTGATGTCTATTTCTATCAAGACACCAGTTTTTTACTGATTTTTTTAGGTCAAACCTACTGTGTTTGATGGCAAATTTAGTACAAAAGGTTATCCTTTTCGTATAAATTATATGTAGTTTTTTTTTTCTTCCGAAACTTTAAACACTCATATCAATCTTGAAGGATGGATAGTAACCAGTTTGACATCCAAAGTCAAAGTGTGGTTCCCTTTGTTGACATGGATGTATCGTTTGAAATGTGGATTTAATTTGTGTTCAGTGGTGTTTATTGGTTCAAGAATTTAAATTCCATTCCATTTTCAGTCATAAAATGAAACTTTGCATATTATAAGCATAAAAAACCACTTTGCTGCATAAATTGGGGAAAAAAGGTGAAACTTTGTTGCATAAATGTGCATTTAACCCCAATATCTATACCTAATATATGCCCATCAATCTCAGGAATCCATTTCTATCAGCTCAGAGTTGTGGTTGAATCTTGATTGTTATTCCTAATGCAACGTCAAAGGAGTATCTTTGATACCTTCCCTGAAACCGTTGATCTTAACCAGGGTCCTAATCATGGTATGAACGAGTCTGATGAACACAACATCAGGTTATCCCCCACTGAAAGACGCCTCTTAAGTAATGATCTTTCTGGTGAACTAAATTTCAATTGTGAAAACACAAATGATCACCATAACTCTCGAAGTTTCAGTAGCTGGGATGTAGGCGAATCAAGCTCTAGACCAAATGAACAAGATTCAAGATATAAAGAACGACAATTGGATCCACCAAATACTCAATTCCATTCCACTCCTAATCACATTCCCATGGATGTAAATCTGAATCTTGAATATGGGGGTAATAGTAATAGTAGTGGAAATGATGGTGAACAGGGTTTCAGATTCATGAATCTTTACAAATCAGGTACTCCTGAAATGGAGTCTGATGAACATGAACATGAACATGAACCAGATTGTTCTTTTGGGAATTGGGGTCTCTCTTGTAAAAGAAAAGCATTAGAAGGTACTTCTTCCAGCAGTGCAAGTCAACCTTCACCAGTGGTCAACTCTCCAAGTGCCTTTACTCCTCCGATTGCAACTGAGAGCTCACGAAGATACAATGGAATCAGAGATTCCGGTTCCGGACCTTTTAACATATCATCAACCGGAACCCCTGGAAACTCATTGCCTTTTAGACGACTTCCACATAGTGAGTATCTTGGTCAACCATCTAGAGGACCAATTTTGACTCCTCCCAATTCTAGTCAACCCTTAAATGTTCAACCACCTTTAGTTCAAGTTCCAGGAATGCCAAGAAACCTAATTCCCTTTTCAAGAAATGGAAGTTCATCAAGAAACAATGAGCAAAATTCTTACTTTGGTCCTTCAAATGAGACAAGAAATATGGTGCAAGATCCCACTAATTGGAGCTTAGCAACTGGGAGATCAAACAGTAATGGAGGTAATAATTACAGAAATGACCCTGTTTGGATACCTCATGTAAGCTCTTCTGGGACACATGGTCAGCAAAGGTTGACTGAGCTTCCTCCTTGGACTCTTTTCCCTTCTTCTGAGGTCGAGTCTGTGGGCCATAGAGGTCATTTTCCCATTTTGCCCTCGGGGTCTTCTTCTTCCTCAGAGGAGAATGTGTTACCTAGCCGGGGGCGTCATCGTCAACATTTTTTAAGGTCAGGACCTTTGATGGAGGTGCCTGGTGATGAGTGGCAGGCTTTTGCTTCTGATATTGAGGGAAGACATAGGCTGGTTTCTGAGGTTTGTTTTCTTATGATATAATTACATAAAATTCATTAGTTTTATATTGGATATATCTTACATTATAAATTTCACAATTAGTTAAATCAAACATATCTTGATATAATTTCCATCTTATTATGATTTGTATGTTCAAAAAAAATGCTCTAGTGTTTCAACACTTTTGAAAACAGTTATTTAAGTTCAAATATGTACCTTAAAATGTTGATTTTGAAACGTAGTTTTCTTTACATTTTGTAAGATATATTTTTTTAAATAAATGTGTTACTAAGTCATGAAATTATGTTTGACTTCCATGTTACAGATGCGTCAGATTTTGAATGCATTGCGAAGAGGTGAAAGCTTACGAGCTGAGGTCTGGTGTTGTTTTCTTGAATAATTTTCCAAATTCTAATAAAAAATAAGCTTAAAAACATTTGGATTCTTGAATAATTTCCCCAAAATTTCTTATTCTTTCAAACAACTTTCTGAAATGTTATATGTCAGGATTACATGCTCTTTGATCCATTTATAAACGGGGTTTCTGAGCTACATGACAGGCACAGAGATATGAGGCTAGATGTTGATAACATGTCTTATGAGGTAAGCCTCTGGGTCTTGCTATTTTTTTTTTAAAATTCTTTTCAAATATTATTTAGTTATTAATATTTTTGTAAACATTGATTTGTTTATCAGGAACTTTTGGCACTTGAAGAACGTATAGGAGATGTGAAAACTGGGTTGAGTGAGGAAGTTATCATGAAATCAATGAAACAAAGAAAACACATATCTTTCATGGCTATATCAACCCAAAATTTGGAGCCATGTTGCATATGTCGGGTGAGATTTTTCTCTTAAACTATGTGAAAAATTGCTACTTTTCACTATTTTTCAGCAAAGAACATGAAAGCCAATAAGAAAATCGGATTATCCGTGCTCAAGTTTATGTTATTTTTAGGGTTTTTGTGGGTTTTATTAGGCGTCATATTTTTCTCTTAAAATGTGAAAAATTGGTACTTTACCAATCAAGTCCTGATGGATGAAGTACCAATTTTTCACATGAAGTCTCTTTCTTTGCTAGACTGAATAAACCGTCTCAATGAGACTAAACTAAAATGACCGTTTTATCCTTGCATTCCAAAAAAGAAATTTCAAAGTATTCATCAGTTTTAACGTGAGATAGGTTGGGAGGAAAAAAGAAGGGAAAATAGACAAAGGGTTAGTGCCTTAATACATTAAGCCAAGTGTTTTTTGGCTTAATCCATTAAGTTATTCTGTTCAGAATAAGTGCTTAGACTATTAAGCACATCAAGTGGGTGTTTCTCTTTCTTTTAATGCAGAAAGAAAGACTTAACAGAGAAAGTCAGGGAAATGAAGCATATCCTGTTAAAGTCCCAACTTTTTACAAATTTGCCCTCATTTGTTTTTGGGTTAATCACTAAAATGACCAAAATGGGTGGCGCCCTTTCATAAAATGACCACTTCACTTGGGCCAAAACAACTTTGTGAAAACATTTTTTCTTGTAAATTTCAACTTTTTGTTAAATGCATTATTTTTCTTTTGCAAAATAATGGTGTCATTTCGTGAAAAGAAATCTAGCATTTTCTTTTTCTTTTTTAAACATCATTTAGTCATACACTACTTGGATTGGGGACCCAACCAAACTTCTTGATTTTAAACGAGTTTATTATTAAAACATAAAGAACAATTTCGATGATAATTTTGATCATGTTATTATTATTATATAATAATTGTGACTATGATCTCAATTTTGGAGTGTTGTATTGCAGGAAGAATATATTAACGGAGATAATATTGGGAGCTTGGAATGTGGACATGATTTCCACACAAGTTGCATTAAGCAGTGGCTTTCACAGAAAAATCTATGCCCAATTTGCAAGATGACTGGCCTTTCTACTTGATATATTTGAATTTCTATGCTTTTGTTGAGAGACAAAAAGACATGATATTCTTCTATGTTCACTTGTCTTTTTCAATCCCCCGATTTTTTTGTTTGTCAAAATTGGGGGTTTGCAAGAGAAAGGAGGAGGAGGAAGTAATAATGGTATATGTTATAAACAGATTTGGTTGTCAATTTGAAAATGATCTGGATAATTTAATGACTTGTTATTTTATTTCTTCATAGTTTTGTTTTGTTTCTCTTCAACTTGATCGCATAATCTTATTTTCTCATATCTGATAAGTAGTATATTGCATACACAATTAATGATGATTTATAAGTAAAGACGATGTGAGAGAAAGCAATTTTGTATATTGCATCTATTGATTAAGATGTGTAAAGTAATTACAAACAAGAGATCGAGGAATCAATGGAATCATATTCATCTACCCCTTTGAACCCATTCAAAATTGGATATTCGTCGAGTAAGGCCCCGTTTGATATGTATTTTTCCAGGTCCAAACAAATCTTTCTGGTTGAATGGACCGGAAAGACGGTTTGATTTGCACAAAAGAATGAGTCTTTTCCGGTAAGATATGTCTTTCCCAGAAAGCCCCAAAATCATATCTTTCTGGCTGAATGGGCTGGAAAGACAATTATACACCAAACCCCGCCTTTTTATTTTTTTATTGGATTATTAATTTTTTTAAATATATTTTTTTTTAAATTTTTTTTTATTGAATTATTACTTTTTTTTCATCATTCAGCACAGTCAAACAGATGTACAACACAGTCAAACAGATGTACAATCAAACAGCATGGTTTCTTTCCCATTCAGAAAACTTTACTAGACAGCACTTTACCAGACAGCACTTTTCCAGACAGAAACTATCAAACGGGACCTTAAGTTCTATATTGTTTGATCCACTTAGTTGATTGATATGTGGCAAAGAAATATCCACCAAACACTCCTTCAACCAAATTAAGGTTCAAATTATCCAATAAAGAAAGTAGTATTTATATTAATAGTTTTAACTATTGTTTTCATATATATTATATGGTATAAAAATGTAGAAAGTTATAAATAAAAAGCCCATATCTTTGGAGGTAGTGGACATTGTTCTATTTGTTGAAATAATGTATTGGGGGACCATATAGCTCATGCAACAAGATGTTGATGGAACGCTTTTTCAACCAATAAAATTGTCAATCTCACCTATTATTCGATTAATTTTGCGCCATTTCAATGTTATTACATGAAATATTGCATAAAATTCATATAAAAGGCACATAAAAGCTCTAGGGATCTCATGAGTCTTGATGAGTTTGGACATGGTTTTAGTTGGTTTATGGGTTTACTTGGATCATTAAAGACTTTTTCTAAATTAGCATGGTGCGTTCAGAAAAAAGAAAAACATTACTAAGGGGACCATATAATAAAGATACAAAGGATTGATCACAAACAAGTGGCTACGAGATATTGATGGGACGTATTTCTAACCAACAAAACTGTCGATCACAATTTTAATTTGCCTAATATCCACTCGTTTGACTAATATCTCACATTTTCTGTCATGAAAGTTGAAAGACAAAATAAATAAATAAATAAATAAATAAAATTATAAAATTACTTTTAGCAAATAAAATTATGGATAGTTTGTAGAAAAACAGTAACATACTTTTATTATATTGATATAATCAATGTTATTTGACTTTACCTATAATAATGACATACATATACATATTGATGGTCCTAGCGGTATCAAAGAGCTTCTAGCATAGCGGTAGCCGGTTGTTGGTGATTTTATATCACTAATGTTATTTAAGTGTAATGAGGTTAATTTGTTGATCAATGTCACTTTGACAATTATTGAATAAATCGGTATGGTGCGGAGTGCACATTTGTTTAAATTTTGTCTTTGTTGAAAGTATACTGCTATTTAGGGGTGAAGCCCCTGAACCGACTGGGGTCCGGGGGCAGCGCCTCTGGGAGCGGGGTCCAAGGGGCGGCAGCCCCTGGCGGGGTCCAAGGGGCAGAGCCTGTGACAATCCGAAACTTTTTTCCGTTTCCGTTATTAAAAAAAAAATTTCAAATTCGTTAACTTTTCCGTCAAACTTTTTGGTTTAGAAAATAATCTAGTTATATTAAATTATTTTGCAAGTAGGAACCAAAAATAGCGTGAAAACCCAAATATCTCGAAAATCAAACATTTCCGGTCTAAGGAGATTACGACCGTAAACGTGTTTACGACCGTAAACCTGTTTACGGTTAGTATGAGTGGACCCCACCTCAACACCCCTATAAATACGATGCCTCCACCTTCATTAGAACATTTCTGGCCAAGCACTCTCCCCTTCTCTCTCCAAGAATCTCGACCGTAAACACTCAAAACGCCTTCAAACTTCGGAAAGCATCGAGAAAACCACGTTTGGGTCGCTTAGGAACGTCTGGAAAAGCTCATCTCTTCGAAATCAGCACCCAGCACCAGTGTTCTTGAGTTTACGGTCCGTCTTCAGAAACCGTAAACTCTGTTCTTGAGTTTACGGTCCAAACCTTCAAAGACCGTAAACTCTGTTCTTGAGTTTACGGCCGTAAACTCGCCGAGCCTTCAGAAACCGTAAACATTAGTTTACGGCCGTAAACCCCCATTTACGACCGTAAACTCTTGTTCACGGCCGTAAACACCTTTTAGGTGGTGCTTTTGGCTGAAAACCCATTTCCTTCGATTCGATCAAGTCCCGGTAACATTCCTCAACCGAATACAAGTGTTCTTATGACACTTTATTTATCGAAATCGCTAATTTAGATACATATATGTATTTATTTGATAATAGGATTTCGTTAAGTATCACGTGCAACAACTCGAGGATCTTCATTTCAGTCAACGATTTCACGCAACAACAGTGAGTTCATACCCCTACATTTTCCGCATTTTTTAATGTTTTCAGGGGGGAATACAAGCTAAACATAAATGTTTTCAAGAATACACATAAAACTTATGCAAATCTCTTACCTTAATTCCCTTTTGTACTATGCTGAGCATAAGGGACGTTTTCACTAAAATTGCATAGTTTTTCCGGACACGCTATTCGCTACGTTTTTCAAGCAAACTATAATCGATATAGTTTGGGATTTTTCTAAAACTTATCAAGCATAGAAACTTTCACTACTAAACATATGCACTGAGACAGAAACCGTTTACAGTTTACATCACTGCTTTATCATGGTATTCATAACTGTAATTATCACTATATACGGATACATACGGATTTTCACTACGGTAGAACGCTACCACACTACATGTAAACTAGATTGTACGATACTGTGAGGCGCTACTTCACTACTGTACCCTTAGGTGTACAGGGATAAATCCTACCACTGTATAACCAGAGTCTCCTGGAGGGAGAGCGTGAGATTTGTGAATAGATCTATTCGGGACTGACAATCCCACATCTGGACTACTAGCTACAGTTAGGTGGGCACGCCTGAGGTGTACAAATGTCATTTTACTCGACGCCTGAAGAACGTTGGAAAGGTCACTAGTCATATCAAGCATGGTTATACGACTCACATTATGTATAAATCACCTTTAGTTTACAAACCTGGCACTCTTCAACGGTTTTATTTATACTAAATAGAACAAAAACACACTATGCATACTGGCCGAGCCAGGGTTTTCAAAACAGAACCATTTATGCTATGGTTTTACCTATAAAGTACTTATACTTCATGATTAGCTTTAGCTAGCCACATGAGGTAGTATTTTCGCATATCACTACAGTTTTCAGAAACGAACGTTCATGGTTTTATACGAAATCGATAACGCTACATTTTCACTAAAGAAAATATCGGATTTTCTTGTAAGCATGCATATAATCATGGTTTATTACAGAACTGATAACACTACATTTTTCACTAAAGAAAATATCTGATTTTCTTGAGACTACACAAACATTTCGGCTAGCTCATCAACAAGTTTTTTCATTACAAATTACCGCTTATGAACTCACCAGCTTTATGCTGATATTTTCAAACTGTTTGTATTCTCAGGAAATCAGTAGACAGGTACTTGCTGGATTTTGAGGAGTTGAAGCAATAAGAGTTTATGTTTATATTCATACAAAGCTATTGGATGTAATTCAAACTAAGTTTCAGACTGATGTAAACATTTTTATTTAAGTATTCACTGTAATGGTTGTGTTGCTATGATTGCTATTATTCATTGGTTGTGATGCCATACATGACGTCCTCCGCCCCGGAACGTTTCCGCCATCGGTTTCGGGGTGTGACAGAGCCCCTGGCTGGGGTCGAGATTTTTTATATATGTTATGTTACTATATTAAAAATGCATCAGAAATCTGGATTTTTGGTAAATATACTCAGTTTTGTGATCCATATTCTAGACCCGAATTTAAGTTAGTTTATGACGTTTTGACAGTTTTAAGACATAAAACTGTCATGTGGCAGTTTTAAGACTGGAAGTTTTTCTGGTTATATGGTCATATCTGAAATCTGTTGTTGGTACTCTTCTTCTTCATAACATCTTGAACATTCTCTCTTCTGTTTTCTCAATTCTGAGTCTTATCCGATTAAAGATTGGGAGTACCACCCAAATACTTTAATCTGAAAGTGAAACCACAATTCTCAGAATTTCCAAGGCTATTTTATCCCGATCTTCTTACATCGGTGTTGTCCTCCCTCTTTCAGGTTGATGGTTCAAGTCCCCCAGTGGACATATGTGAAATAATTTAAGAGTAGTTTAGTATATTTGCAGTTTCAAAAAAAAAAGATGGTTCTAGCGATTGAAGTAAAAATTATATAAAAAATGTTCATGATTCAAATCCTCACACCTAAAATATTGCACTTCATGATTTACTGCACACGTGATGGCCTCACTGTTCAGTGTATGCCGTCAAAATGACGCAGGTTACCATATTTTAACTCTATGTCATTTTTATTATTATTATTATTATTATTATTATTATTTTGTATTTTAATGGGTTCCTTAAGTTTGGATTTTGTTTCAGTTTTGGTCTCTCCCATCTAACCCTGTTAAAATTTCTCGTTAAGACCCATGTATGAAGACCATATTTTCCCATTATTATTATTGTTATTATTGTTGTTGTTGTTGTTGTTATTATAAAACAAAAAATATAAAATATGAAGAAATAAGAACACTTAGACTACAAGAACACAACCCCTCTACCGAAAATAACATTGCCGCCAATGATTAATGGTCTTACA